AAAGGAAAGGAAAGGAAAGGAAAGGAAAGGAAAGGAAAGGAAAGGAAAGGAAAGGAAAGGAAAGGAAAGGAAAGAAAAGAAAAGAAAAGAAAAGAAAGGAAATCGGAGCCAGCCAGATGGTGGTGTGGTGGTGCATACCTTTAATCCCAGCACTCAGGAGGCAGGTGGATCTCTGAGTTCAAGGCCAGCCTGGTCTACAGAGCAAGTTCCAGGATAGCCAGGACTACAGAGAGGAACCCTGTCTCAAAAAACAAAACAAAACAAAACAACAACAACAAAATGGATACAATAAGACAAACAAACAAACAAAACCACTCACATAGTAGAATTCTGATGTGAATGAAAAACTCTTAGGGAGTTCTTGAGGCAGCCGGAATATCTGCTGTAGATATCCCAACCACGGCAGCTTGGCAGACTCATGTGCCTTGAACACCTGGTAACTGCGCTGCCAGACTTCGATCAATGCTTAAAATACATACATTTTCCCCATCGTCACCTCGTCTATCTGGTTGTTCTTCAGCACTGGTGAGAATTATGTTCTGCTTTAATTATGCTCTTTTACATAATCAGGAGGAACCCCAGGTTTTCTACGACCCACTGAACACGTGGCTCCCCCTTCAGAAGCAGCTAGATTCCCTGAACTTCTCACTTCTCTTTTTAGCCAGTGTCCTCCACCTGGTACCTATGGCCCACTCAGCTGGACATTGTTCTTTGACATCATGGTCTTCCTGTGCATCCATAGTGCAGCAAAATCAAATCCTTCTTGCTAAGGGGACTACAAAGTCCACTACAGCTCTACATAGCGAGGCTAACTCTTTTGGCCCGGTGTCCATTTTTTAACTCTTCAAGTAGACTTCTGGAAATGCTGATATTTTGACACCCAGCTCCAAATCCCAAATTTCTGAAAGATTCTGCTTACTGGAGACATTTCCCTCTTCACCCTCTTATTCCCCATCGTGCCAGGAGCTGGCTCCTCAGTGCTCGTGCTGGGGCCATGACAGACTTTAGCTTCAGCCATAGTCCTGAACCTCCTCCCCTTCATGTGTGTGTGTGTGTGTGTGTGTGTGTGTTTGAATGGAGAAAGAGGCCCGAGAAACCAAATGTGCCTAGGGCCGATAAAAATCTTAATGTGGTTCTGATTTTGAAAGAATAAGTTAAATAAATGGGTAAATACATAATGATTGTTAAAAAAGTGCTTTTCCAGTGACAAAGTGCATGAAAAATGTGGCTTATTATTGAAAGCTGACAATTTTATTGCTGTTGTACAATTCTCCTGCTCTGCAGGACATTATACTCTAAAGAGTTTACATTATTTTTACAAATGGAAAGATTTTCTTGGTCATACTCATATTCCTTCTTCTTTTGAAATAGAACCTTCCAGTGGCTTTACCTGAAAAAAAAATGTGTTTGTGTGAATGGGAAGGGCACAGTGAATATCCTAATATCATACATAACAACCTCCCATCCCCCCACCCCCCAACCCCCACTTTTGAGAAGCTGGATTTCCACAGAAGGTAAACCAAAGTGACCAGTGTGGGGTTTTGTTTTGGTTTAACTTTCACATTTCATCATTGACATCCTACATCCCTGACTCACCTCCCAGAAGTGACCTCAAGCGGTCCTAGTGCTCTCCGGCACTGTCTCCTGGAGTTGGTTGCTGGCAAATGAACTCAATTTCTCTGCTGGAAGGTGTTGATGCTGGGGACACGCTGGCTCTGTGCACTTGCTAGGGTTGATGGCCGTGTTCTGATGCACCTCTCACTTAAAGAGGTGGTACTCTGGGTTTCCTTGTTGGTAAGGAGGATCCAGGTACCTGCTTTCCTTGACGCTTTTAAGAGCCTAACAAAATAAATGGATAGTCTTCGTATTCTCCAATCACCCTCAGTTGAATTCCTCTAAGATGTGAGCTCTTTTAAACTCTGGGGCTACAACATGAACATAAGTGCTAGAGTTAAGGAAAAGAAAGGTCTTCAATTCTTTCTTTTCTTTCTCTTGTATGTTTTCCATGAACTGGGCTAGATTCATTTAGCAACAGCAAACGAGTGAGATGCACAGTTTATGAGCCCTGAACCCTACTCTAAACTATTGATATTTTCTCCTAGTTAGGTTTCTATTACTTTGATAAAACACCATGGTCAAAAGCGACTGGGAAGGAAAGGGTTTATTTCAGCTTACACATATCACAGTCTATCATCAAAGGAAATAGGGGCAGGAACCGAAGGCAGGAACTTGGAGGTAGAAAATGAAGCAGAGACTATGGTTACTAGATTGCTCTTCATGGCTTGCTCAACCTACTGTCTTATATACCCTGGGACACCCTGCCCAGGGACAGCACCATCCATATCAATCATTAATCAAGACAATTATCACCACAGACTTGCCCACTGGCCAGTCTTACCAAAGCAGTTTTCACTTAAGATTCCCCACTTCCAAATATGTCTAGGTTTGTGTTAAGTTGACAAAAAAACAACATGATCTCATTTAAGAAGAAAATTAAACATTATGTGATTTGTAAAGACTGCGCCAAACTATCAAAGAAGACATAATTGTTCTTCTTACAAGATTAAGACAAAAGCTGTGACAGAGAAACCTGGCACAGGGCTCTGTCCTAGTTCAGCTCTTCCGTTACACACATGGGTTAGTCCTCTCCACGGCTTGGCTTTCAACTGAACAGAAGGCAGAGAAGAGAGCTTGTGAAGATGGACCCAGGGCAGGGTGGTCATGAGTCAGGATACAAGAAACAGTCAAAAAGCCGAGAGCAAGAGGGTGAAGCCTTCCAGCTGTGAGGACCACCAGCTCGTATGTGCACCCCGGCAAGCGCCATTGTAAGCAGAAAGAAAGGTCACGATGGACAACTTTGGGGGGAAAAAGGCTTTTCTGTGCTGGGCACTATACCAAGTGATTGGATGTGCACGAACTGCTTTAATCTTCCGGTGCACCAATAGGGAGCAAGGTCTCATTTTTATTACTCTCATTTGTAAGCAAAGTTACCCAGATAAAGAGGAGTTCAGTGCTGTGGTTTAAACCACCCACAAAAGGCACATGCAAGCTGAATCCCAAAACCCAGAGCTTTGGAACCTAAGGCTCTTATCAATGCTAAGAAGTAAGGGCTCCTCTATGTCTCCACTTCACTTGCAGAGAGTATGAGATTTAGATGGGCTAAGGAGTGTCCTCGGGGCTCTTGAGTAGGTAAATATCAGAGCAGAGAAATTTCTCCTAGCATCTGGCTCCCGAAGCAATGCATTAGCTCATTTCAGCGCGCAGGCTTCCACGTTCAGTGGGTGCCTCCAGTCTGTGTGCTGATATAATTGTGACAGAGAAGCTGGGGAGAGAGATCAGTGGACAAAGTGATTCCTGTGAAAACAGAGATCTGAGTTTGGGTTCCCAGCACCCATGGAAAATGTCAAGTGTGGCCCTGAGCATCTGTGACCTCAGTACAGAGAGGAGACTCCTCAAAGCTTGCTGGCCAGCCAGCTGAGCTGAAATGCCAAGCTCTAGGTTCAGCGAAGAGACCCTATCTCAGAAAAATAATGTGGACACTTGGGAGGCAGAGGCAGGCAGATCTTTGTGAGTTCAAGGCCAGCCTGGTCTACAGAGCGAGATCCAGGAAAGGCACAAAGCTACACAGAGAAACCCTGTCTCGAAAAATAAAAAAAAAAAAAATGTGGAAAGCAATAAAAAAAACATGGAACGCAATTGAAGAAGACATCCTGACATTGACCTCTGAATCAGAGTGTATGCATGAGTACACATTCCTGTAAAGCATGTGTGTGCCCACATAAACATGGTCATGTGCATAACACACACACACACACACACACAGAGAGAGAGAGAGAGAGAGAGAGAGAGAGAGAGAGAGAGAGAGAGAGAGAGAGAGGCGGTGGGGGGGGAGAAAGTGTGTGATGAAATGGTATGTGTGAGGCAGGGTGTGGAGCAGAGGGGAGACACTGTAAGAGAGAAAAAGGGGATTTAGCTCTCAGCTCTGTGCTTTATGGAGTGGATGGGCACAGCTTTCCAAGACACAAGAAGAGAAAACAAATCAGGAATTAGGTAAGGCAAAGAGGCTGAAGGCAAGCAGGGTGAGTGCTGAAAGGCGGAAAGAAGAACAAGTGAGGAAGCTGTTGAGGTAAGCCCCAAGCCTCCAGCCCAGAAGGCCAGTGGTGGGTGGTGGGCGACAGACAGCTTATGGCATGCCCAAGACCGCCTGCTGTTGGTGCAGATGATCACAGGCCCCCGCACCAGGAAGGCCCTTTCTCCACTCGGGTGACACAACACACATGTGAGGATTTTAAGACGAGGCCCTCAGGGCTCTGTTCACAATGACAACATTGTTTGAGCCCTTTACACATGACTCAGGGTGCATTGTACGTCTCACTGAAAAAAAAGATGAGCTTTTACCTACAAGCACTAACGTGTTGGCCAAGTTGAAAGCGGTGCACGGTTACATAAGAACTACAAATACCTGGGGAGCAAGCACCTTGTATGGGACAGGCTGAACTCCTGGAGGCAAAGTGCCAGCGTCTCGGTTGCCAGCCGAGAATCGTTGTGGTTGGACTGGGTGTTTCGTTTTGTTTTGACCCTAGATTTTTGGCAGTGAGTCCTGAATGCCAAGTGGGGCCCCTGAACCCTGCCTGACACTGGCCTGTATTTTATAACATTATTCCTGTTTTTCTCTGTTTGAAAAAGACGGGCTTAAAAAAAAAAACTAGGAGAAAAGAAAGAGTAATTAAAACATGTTCTGTGCAAAACACTTGTGTGCTAAGCCTATAAGAGGTGGTGTGCAAAAAACTTGTATCTAAATATAGGTTCAAGTCTTGGCTCCATCGTGTCTTAGCTGTGGGCTCCCTGATAATTGCTCAGTGTTCCTGAACCTCAATTTTTTTCCGTCTGTAAAATAGGCACAACAACATTACCAACCCCTATGAGTTCAAGTGAGAACACTCGAGACAGTCACAAGAAATAGCTTGGCTTCATACCTGGTGCCCAGAGCCTAGCAGGTGCCAGCAAGTATTATCCATGAAAAAAGAGAGATGACCATCCCCAGTTCCCTCCAGGGGATGCTAAGACTGACATACGACATCAGCAAAACAGCTTTTCTGAACAGTCTCCATTCCCTACTACGTGTGGTGTGGTACAATGAGAATGATACTGGACACGGAGTTGGAAGACTCTAGACTCTCGTCTTCTGACCACTTAAGTAAGACTCAGTGAAAGTAGCATCCCATTCCTGGTGCCGCCTTCCCTTCTGGCCCCGATACCCCCCCCAATGCCACTTTCTGCCTGCAGCAAGAAGGTCATGGATGGGAGCAACTCCTGTTTCCACGGGCTGGAGATCCAGCAGACTAACTTAGCAAGGAAAAGAAAGATTGTGATACACTCCCGTCTCCTGTTATCCCACACGTGGGAGCTGAAGCCAGAGGGTCAAGAGTTCAAAGCTAGCTTAAGCTACATTGTAAGGCTCAGCCTCAAAAGAAAAAAAAAAACTAGGAAGAAGAGAAAAGAAAGAAACAAAGGAAGGAAAGTATGCCCCAGATATATTAGAGGAAAAGGGTAAATCCCTGTATTGTTTGACCTGAATACTATGAACATATTATTTTTTAATATTGAAAATAATTAAAATAAAAAAATAAGTGTTGAAATTGTAAACAATTTGGAGGGAAATAGATAAAAACTCATTCATCAATCCTTACCTATAAGTATTGCTATTAGCATTTTAATTTATGTATTTTCCTGTTTCTTTTTTTTCCCCCTGGATGTTCACATCAAGTAAAAAATATGTAATTTTGTATTTACAAAATACAGCCAAACAAGCATGCTATCCTATAACTTCCCTCACTTGACAATCTCTTGTTTATATTTTTCCACATCATTAAAGTTTCCTCCATAATCTACAGCTTGATTTTAATGACTGCTTGTTTTTTCTACACTCCACAGAGCAAAGCTTCTATTGCCGCACATTTTGGCTCTTCCTGGTCCCCCTATTGTAAGTATTGACAGGCTTTTGGAGAATAACGCAGGGCTGAAACGTTTGGCTTGGTTTCTCCCTTTGGGGAGAGTCGGCTTTTGAGTCTTTTCTTCTCCCTCTTTGTATCCTTTAGCTTTTGGGCGGAGGCCCAGAGAGCTCCACAAGGGGTAGTGTGTGTTTAAGAAACTCAGCTAAAGAAACAAACCGATTGCAAAGCGCTCTGAACTCGGAGTGCTGGGAAAATGCTGAACATTGTAATTGGCCTAACGCTGCTCCTGTGAGAGATGCCATCTCCCTTGGCCTCCAAAGCCCTGGCCGGGATCGTAACTTTTTGCATGCAGCTGATGCCAGATAACTATTCAACAGTTAGATGCAACCCCCAGGATATTTCCTCAAGCCTTTCAAACACTCTTTGGATATACTCACCGGGTCATCCTTGGAGATGAAAAGCCAAGCAGGATGACGCCAGCAAAACAGGACTGTGAGCTTTAGGTTTCGCGTAAAACGATGGCCTCCTTGGACGAGGCTGAAGCGTCCTCCCTGAGCCAGGCTGCGGGTCAGCGTTGACTCAGGAAGGAATGCCCCTGATGAGCCACGGGCATGCCAGAGAATTGCGCAGTACATGCCAACTAGTAACCTCATACGATAACCAAGCACGAGCCCATCTGTGGACGCTTTGCGTAACAGCATATTTGGATTTGGGGCTTAGCTTTCAGGGCTTGTATTTCACGTTTGCCTGAGCATACTCCCAGCCTCCCGGGGCCCCTCCTGGGTGCCCTGTCTCTGCTTGCAAAAGGAGAGAGCAGCATTTCTAAGAGCTGGGACTTGGCTCTCCCCGGCAGGTAACACAGAGCTCGTCCAGGGTTCAGCTGTCTGGCTGAAACTCTTTCCGGCCTGTGCTGCTTCTCCGCACAACCTGATTCTTGCTGATGGCCCAGCAATTCTTAATAGACAGCCTTGGCATTGTCATGACCTTGGAGGCACCTTAACAATGAGACTTGTTGACTGACGGCTGCCAATAGGACAGATTCTGTGCAGTCACGGCTATAGTAACCGGCAAAGTATTATTGAAGCAGCAAGTATGTGGACAGCCGAGAGCTTCTGAAGGGACAACAAAGAGGTTTATACCCTTGCTAAGGCCCCTTACTCTTGACTGGGCCTTTCCTCTACAGATATCTTCCTACAAGCCCAGGTTCTGTGATCTTATTTAGGACACACATGATGGTGATGCTTTCCTGCAAATAATCACTGCAGAATGACTGCCTTGGTCAGGGCTCCCTTTGAGTTTGAAGTCAAAGACCTGGGAGGTACTATGGTGATATTTTATTTATACTGAAATGTGATTTTTTTTTGCATGTTAATAAATAAAGTTGTCCTGGGGGTCAGAGCTAATAGCAAGCCATAGCAGAAGGTGGGCAGTGGTGGCGCACGCCTTTCATCCCAGCACTTGGGAGGCAGAGCTAGGCAGATCTCTGTGTGTTCAAGGATACAGTCAACAAAGGAGACACATGCCTTTAATCTCAATACCAACCCTAGAAGACCTGGAGGTCTGTATAGACAGGCAGTGATGAGGAGGTCATGTGGTTGGGTTTACCACCAATGAGAAGGCAGAACAGAAAGTCAATAAAAGGACAGATACACAGGAAGTAGGTCTCTTGCTGAGGGGAAGGACAGCAGCGGCAGGAAGGGTAAGAAAGGTTTTAAGTCTCAGCTCTTACTGCTGCTCTGACCTCTTGGGCTTTTTAACTGTGCATTTGGGTCCATGTTTCTTAGTTAATAATAAGACCGTTAGGTCTACACGGTACACCTCATCTGCACTGTCTCCAAGGTTATGGGTGTTTGTGTAATGAAGATGTAATGAAGATGGCAATAAATGAGTGTTCAAACAGCAATACCTGTGACAGACAATGGCAAGCTGGTGACTACTGAAGAGCCTCCCAGTGAAGGAACCATTTATTTACATTCAAACTCTCAGTGAAAAGAAAGTGTTTCCTTAAGGTAGGGCCCAATGCTGCACTAGGACTCTGCGTTTCACCGGGAGGATAGGGTTGAAAACACAGAGTGCTCAACAAGAGGTACCAAGAGCTAGAGCATCACTCAGCAGCCTCCACACTGGAGGGACACAAAGCCTTTCTGACAATCAAGGGACGAGGACCCAACACTTAAATACAACACTTTACAAAAGAAATGAATTGTGCTGTCTTAGTTACCTTTCTGTTGTTGTGAAGAGACATCAAGACCACGGCAACTTACAAAAGAATGGATCTCATTGGGGGGCTTGCTTACAGCCCCAGAGGGTTGAGTCCACAGTCGTCATGGTGAGGAGTATGGCAGCAGGCAGGCAGTCATGGCAGTGGAGCAGTGTCTGAGAGCTTACATCTGATCCACGAGCAGGAGGTAGAGAGGGAGCTGATACAGAATGTTTCCAGCTTCTGAAACCTCAAAGCCCATCCCCAGTGACACACCTCCTCCAATAAGACCATATCTCCTAATCCTTCCCAAACAGTTCCACCAACTGGGGACCAAACATTCAAACGTATGAGCCTATGGGAACTATTCACATTCAGACCACCACAGGATGGGTGGATATGCAGCTTGGTGGTAGAGAACATGCCTAACATGTGCCAGGATTTAAGCTCCATCCCTGGTACTGCGGGGTGAGAAAGAAAATCTTTAATTCAACGTCCCAAGAAAGGCTGACATTTGAGGCTAGTGAGATGTGTCAGTGGGTAAAGGTGCTTGCTGCCAAGTTGATGACCTGAGTTGTGTTCTCAGGACCTACATGGTAGAAGGAGAGAATCAGCTCCTGCAAGTTGTCCTCTGACTTCCAGACATGAGCCATGGTCACACACACACACACACACACACACACACACACACACACACACACACACGTAAATTATTAAAACATCTTAAAGAACCTGGAAAACTGGTGCAGTTAATAGTAAGACCTCATGGATTTTTTTGGTGTTCTCCAGAGCAGATGTAAAGAAGAACTAGATGTCTCTCACTCCCATCTGTTAAAGGTTACCTACTGCTAGTTCAAGAAGAACTTAGGGTTGATATTTGAAAACCTTATAGAATGTGCTAAGAAAAATAAAACTTCTTTCTTTCCCCAGAATTAAAAAGAGTCCCTCAAATACTTTCTAAATACCGACAACTCCAGGCTGGGTGGGAGCCTTACTGTGGCTCTATTGTTAGCCAGGGATGAGAGGAGAGGGTGCCCAACCTAAGGGATGATCAATACTCTCTGTGCCACTGAATAGAGGCAAAGGCCAAAGCTGTCACTGAGGTAAAAATTCTTTCATAGTAAAACATAAACTACTTGTATCTTGTAAGTGCAAGGGTGAGGTACATTTTTTTCCCCTCAGCATTTTATTGGTAGTTTTAATCTTCCACAAATATCAACAAGTTGATCCTATACCACCTCTGTACAAAGACATAAACTGGGGCCTCGAGTGATAATGAGGAAAGCAGATATGGGGTATGTTCTCTGCATAGTTCACTCTGGAGATCAGTCACCCCAAAGGTCTCAAATTATAATTTGGTCTAAGAGGTTTGCTTTTAAGAATTATTTCTTTTACATGATAAAGAAAAAAACAAAAGCAGGGTTTGAAGACATACTATCTGTAAAACTCCCTCAAATTTGTGATCATCCGGAAGCCTGCAGAGCTTGGCGTAGGAGCTACCTGTGCATGGCAAGGAGTCATTCTCAGACCCCAGGAGAACAGGGGAACATGGCAGCAGTGTGGCCCTGTCTGGCCAAGAGCAGTTTGCTTCAGCTCCCGAACACTGGCTGCTCAGCTGGGTCATTCCTGCGTCCCTTACACAAGGAACTCCAGCAACAGCTGGGCCTGTGTGGAAGAGGTGTGGATGCCCAGGCCACCTCCCCATCATGCTTCTTTGTTCACCTTGAGGACTGCTGTGGGGGAGGGGGGCTATCAAGCAATCTCATTTCCGGTGTCGGTGTCTTACCGCTCCGTTTAACCCTACCCCCGTGTGCTGAACTCTTATCGGACCATGGTGCCGCGTTGCCTCTTGCTTCCCTGTTTATCTAGTGGTTGTTTTCCCCTGGATTGCCCTTCTGATGATCGGGGAATCACCCTCGTTCTAGAGAGCCAGCCCTTATCACGTTTTCCCAGTGTAAAGAGTAATAGAATCTCTCTTCCGGAGAGCAGCAGCAAGATGCACTTTCTCAACTCAGCCTCCTCAAGTGAAAGAACCTGCTGACTTACGTACACAGCGACTTACTTGCAAACTTGCAAAAACGTATGCACACATACGTACGGAAAGCAGCACCCCACGCCAAGAAGGCCATGCTCCATAATGGTGTGAACTGCTGGATGGAACGACTGACTGATTTGACCAGCCTCTGGTTAGCCAATTGTATGGGAGAAAGCACCCGAGTGAGTGAGTTACAGTAGACCAGAGGTTCTCAACCTTCCTGATGCTGCGACCCTTTAACACAGCTCCTCGTGATGTGGTGACCCCCAACCATACAATTATTTTCGTTGCTACTTCACAGCTGTAATTTTGCTACTGTTATTGAATCGTAATGTAAATAGTTGATATGCAGGGTATCTGAGATGCGCTCCAAAGGGGTCAGGACCCACAGGTTGAGAACTTCTTCAATAGAGGGCTTCCTAGTTACTTTAGAATACTGGCTCACCTTGACGCTTTCAGATGGTATTCGCTGCAGCATGTTGCTTAGCGACTCTTCCCTGTCGGGGGACGCATACATGGCTGGAACCCTGCTTCTTCCTTTTGCGACGTCCTGTTCCCCACACCTAGGATTCCTTCGCTTGTCTAAGGTAAGTCCTTCTACAAAGGAGAATGAAAATCACCAGTGAGTAGGGAAGGGGCACAGGGGATGGGGGGTGGTAGGGGTTAATTATTTCATTGTCGATAATTCTTCTCTGGAGTTGGCTGCCTTCTGTCTGAGTGACATGGAGGATGTCTGTGTTTCCACATTTCATCTGGACAGTGGGGAGATTAATAGGGTTAAGCTGGGGAAGCTGGGGACAACAATAAGGTTACGGCTCGCTGTGTGTTCAGAGCACTGCTTGGCACGATGTCAGTGCTCTCAACGTCCTCCTCCTCCTCCTCCTTTCTTAATGTGGATGGATGTTTTGCCTGCATGCATGTTTGTGCACCACACACATCCCTAGTGCCTGCCCAAGGAAGGCAGAGAAGTGCATCAGATCCCCCGGAACTGGGTTATCAATGGTTGTGGTGCTGGGAATGAACCCAGGTTCTCTGAAAGAACAGCCAATGCTCTTAACCCACTGAGCCATCTCTCCAGCCCCCACACCCCTTCTCATTCATCGTCTTGGCACAGAGAAGGCTTCTTTATATTTATTCCATGTTGCCTTACAAGGAAGGCTGTGTGGGCAGCACCATAGAGCCAACCCCATTGGCGGAGGTGTGGGTGAGCCAGCCCTAAAGTTGTTAGCATGGGAGAACTGTCTCCATTACTCATCTGTCATGTGGTGGCATGGGCAGGGAAGAGATGCCCCCTCCCTATCCTCCCACCCCCTAACGCTCCCCCACCATGCCCATCAATGCCTGAGGCTGGTGAGAGAGCTGGCCCTGAGGTCCTAAGTGCAGGAGAGCTGCCCCTGCCCACCAGCAGCTACAACAATTGGGAGAGCAGGCCCTGCACCTTGAGTGAGCAGCACAAAAGCGCCAGCCCCATTGGCAGAAGTGTGGGTGAGCCAGCCCTGACGTTGTGAGCATGGGAGAGCTGTCCGCATCACTCATCTGTCATGTG